GGTTGATACTTAACCAACACCCCCGGGGTTAAAATCCCCCTCCTTTCGTAACCATAAAAATTTTTATAAATTTTTTTTTTCTCCGAAGAAAAGGCCCTCCTTCGTATTCCCTCCCCCCATTTCCTCCCCTCACACTCACACGTTCATGTTGAGAGAGAGAAAGAGAGAGAGAGAGAGAGAGAGAGAGAGAGAGAGAGAGAGAGAGAGAGAGAGAGAGAGAGAGAAAGAGAGAGAGAGAGAGAGAGAGAGAGAGAGAATCACCAGTACGCCAAACACAAACAGTACGGTGACCTTTAGATCTACCCAAGGAGCTTAATGAAAACAAATTGCTTTAACCTCCCTGGATCTACCGTAAACGTTTTCCATACAAACATACTTTACTGGCTGGTCCAAAAAATCTGGATCGTCAGCAGGAATTAGCCGTGTTAAGCAGCTAGCAGAAAGAGGTGGATGAGGAGAAAGAAGGGGAGGGGGAGGGGTGGAAGGGGGTTAGAGGAGAAGGAGGGTTTACTACTGACCTGTTTCACAACTTGATTATAGGCAAAGTGTACATGTCAGCAGATAGTTGCGAGTAAACATCTTGTTATTTCACTTCACTGAGCGTTCTAAAACTACGTCATTCAAAAACAAAATGAAGTAATCTAATTTTGAAACAGACTTTCGCCATGACCTTACTGATGTAAACTCCTGATTACTGGACGTAATTTTCAATTCCCCTGGTGAACCCGGAGACGTTTAGACATTTTGCTTATTATGCTAAAATTTCATAATGTTTCAGAAAACAGACCCCGTTTCTTTTGGAGGAAAGTTCCACGTTAAAAAGAGCGTCCGTGAACCCAGTTTCTTATCATCGCTCCAGGGGGCAAGATTCCCCATCTCTGTCTCTGGCACAAACATCCTATTTCTCTCCATTATTATGGAAAAGTGTTTACGTAGGCTATAACAACATTAACACGGAGCTCAGTGGAAAGTGCAGCTTCATCTCTTTTCAGAGCTTTATTTTTTCAATTAAGTTTTGCTTTTGCTCCCCGCTCCTCCTTCATAAAAGCCAGCGTGCCTGTGTCTAGCACCGCAACGTCTTGGTGAGCTGTGACTTTGCGCGTGAGCTTTCACCAAACTACCGGATCTGTGAGAAGTAGATCAGGGAGGGACTTTGTGCATTTCACCAAACTACCGGACTTGTGAGAGGCTACAGCAGGGTGAGTGACTTAGCGACAATTATCATCGACTAGCAACAGGGTCACCTTTTTGTGCTTGTTGTTATTATTGTCATCGTTGTTGTTGTTGTTGGTGTTGGTGGTGGGGTTGTTCTCGTTGTTGTTGTTGTTGTTGTTGTTGTTGTTGTTGTTGTTGTTGTTGTTGTTGGTGGTGGTGGTGGTGGTGGTGGTGGTGTTGTCGTCATTGTTGTTGTTGTTGTTGGTGGTGGTGTTGTTGTCGTCGTCATTGTTGTTGTTGTTGTTGTTGGTGGTGTTGTTGTCGTTGTTGTTGTCATTGTTGTTGTTGTTGTTGTTGTCGTCGTTTTTGTTGTTGTTGTTGTCATCGTCATTGTTGTTGTTATTATAGTTGTTGTTATTATCATCAACAACAAAATTACTTGCAGAAATGACACCATTTTCTATGGTATGTGTTGGCAGGACTATTGGTAGACGTATGACGTATGAAAATATATCTGAAGAGATGAAGTTTCTCATTTTTTTGTAGATCACTGTTTCACTTTTGGTACCAAAAAAAAAATCTTCGCAACTTTCAGTAATACAATCTGGACCTTTTACCCTCACTTACAGTGCCCTAAACATTCGTGGCACAACCTATCCTCAAACTTCTCTTAAACTGGAGAATCAATGCCATCCACACTTTGCACAGCAAATTGTATCAATTTGTCTCAACTTAATCATATCTTTTTTCACAACAATCGAGGCTAGACTCAAAAACTTTGCTCCGTAAATAGATATCTATATAATGCTACAACTCTCCGTCGCGCGGAAAATGTTAATGGAAGTGTTCACAGCAGTTCCCACTTCTCACACGCAACACATTTTGCATACTATGTGGCCTACGTCACAGCTCCCCAATGACACTTTTTAGAGGTAAAACTTTAGCCCGTGCATAATCACGATCTCCTGATCAATGACAAGTGAAATTGGTAAAAAGTTCTGCTCTTACTTTATAGTTAGTTTAAAGCTGTCATTCTGAACTTAATTTAAGGGGATGCCGTGGTCGAGAGGTTAAGCCGGGCACGTCTTATACAATGGGGGCGGGGGTCGAATCCCACAGTCGCCGGACCATTTTTTCTCAGGGAGGGAAACAAAGAGCCAGGTGTTTGCGGGATTAAAAGCTGGAGTCGGAAAAGATTTCGCACGTCTTATCGGAGTAGGCGCAGACGAAATGAAGGATTGAAGTCGTGTATGCCTGAATCTGATGTAATAGTAAGAGAGTACTAAAATAAAGATTTGTTCTTTTGATTTATGAACGAAATTAGTAGTTAGTTCAGTGTTACTATATTTTATTATTTGACTAGTAG